TGCTGAATGCAAAATGGAAATGTTTTGCATATCCTTGGGATGAAAGGAGTTATCACCCTAAGCTATTCACTTATTAATTTTCATTTAATACTCATGGTATATCAGACATTATAGATTTTTCACTGTTTTTCTTTATGCAGAACTCTGATAACTGTGCTCTTTGTAAAATGTAATTCCCTGGTTTACCTGCCTGCTTGGACTGAACTGTGGAATCTTAATTTGCTGTCATGATTTCTGTGATCCTTTGCTTGTGTCGTATTGTTGTTACTATGAACACATTGCACATACAACATAGCCTTCATCTTCTTAAGGCAGACTACAGACCCTTTCATCCTTGCAAAGTGAATAATTAAACTAAGATTTTAATATTTGTGTTTGCTTTTGGGTTTATTAGCTCTAACTGGGAAAACTAAATCAATTATTTTGAATACTCCGTCTGACTAGCTCTTGGAAAAGTGGACCAGAGTTTTCCATATATCTGTTCTGTTGCTTTAAGCTATCTCAAAATAGCACTGTTGTAGAGATGGACTGTAGTCTGCCAGTTGGATAGGTGGCATTTTTATCATTGCCAGCTCGAGGTTTGCATAAGGACCACAAAAGTGATGCAAAACTAGAGGAGCTCTTTGTCACTGGTAAGGTCCTGTGGTATAATGTAATTCTTCTATTGTACCTGCCTTGCCTGAATTTGTTTGGGGTTTTTTTTTGTTTCTGTAGACTCCAGAGGAAGGAGCCTCTACAAGCATCTATGCAGCAGTATCACCTGAGATGGAAGGAGCTGGCGGCTGCTACCTTTACAATGAGGAAAGGACAAAATCGGCTGACATAGCGTATGATGAGGAGCTGCAGAGAAGGCTCTGGACAGAAAGCTGCAAGATGACTGGGATTTCTGATGAATCCAGGAGAGTTCCCTAGAAGAAGCCACTTCCAGCTGGGTAAATGAAATGTATTGTCAAGCATCTTAGGTGAATTCTCGCAGCATCAGTCATCACCCTGGAAATCACTGTTCAGTCCCAAAGGCAAACATGAACAGCTCTGTTCTTCACTTGAACCCCTATTCTGCTAGGGTGTGGGGGGAGTATTCCCACAGAAAGATGTAGTGGTTGGTTTTAAATCTAACCATCAGTTTTGTAAATCATGATGTTTCAGTCTGTGATTAAAATACAATCTTTAACCTTGTGCAGAGTTGAGTTTTCATTTTTTGTTCAACAAAAAAAAAGACCTTCCCCGGTAAGCGTGTTGTCTGTGGCATGTTGAACTTAAGCCACCTTTGTACATATAACTTACTCGTTTTTAATCAGTTTTAAAAGTTGCAGCTTTTTTCCTTAAGCTTCATTGATCTTTAAGACACTTTATAATGAATGTCAGCTTGTTCTAATGCAGCCATTTGGCATTCATGATCATTATGTTGTTTCTATCTTAACGTTAGTTTTATATGTCAGCTTTTATCCAGAGGTTTTAAATGAAGGTCAGAACCAAAAAAAAAAAAGTAAATAAATAAGGTCTTCAGACAGGATATTGAATTCAGTTGTTTTCTGTTCAAGTTCAGCCCTCCTTTAAAGGCGAGCCGTAAGAACGAGGAAGAGATCAAACATGAGACTGGAGACACTGGATTTGGCAGACAGTGCAGTCAGCCTGTTGTCTCAGCAGTGGGCAAATATTACTTTTCCCCTTTTCTCTTGAACCCGTATAAACTTGCATCCGCTACTTCTTGCATTTCCTTTGGGAAGGAGATCCACTTATCTACTGCCTGTTGCGTGAAGAGTCACCTCCTTCGGTGGGTTTTGAACCTAGTTCATGAGAGTTTCAAAACTAGATTTCATGGTTTGGAAGAGACAGCAATCAATTAATACCAGTCCACTTTTTTCACCTTGCTAAGGGCTTTGGAGACTTCCAACATGTCCCCCTTAAACTGTCTCTTTGCTCTGCTGAAGAGTGGTCCCTGCCTACTCATCTGACTTACACAGCAGCAACAGGATATTTTCCCTTTTCTTATGTATTTCTTTCCTAAAATTTCCTAGCAGCTGTTTTATTTGTAATTTTATTTGACTGTCTCTGAGTGTGGACTGATATTTTTTATGAAACTATTTTTGGTAAACCCTAAGATTTCTCTCCTGAGTGAGATAGTGGTCAGTTCAGATGCCATCGGTTTTGAACACATTTCGGTGTGTACAGTTCAGGGAACTCTACCTCTTTCTGTCAAAGTGAAGCTTCAAGAATTACGTTCACATCCATGGAGTAAAGAACAAAACAGACATGTGGCAATATAAAGATAGTCTGAGTTTCTACGAGCCCAAATAACTAAAAGAAAAAATCAGATTGAGGATAGACACAACGTTTTAATGGGGAAGGTGATAAACCATGAGAATAATTCACAGAGAAACTTCCCCTGGAAGTTTCAGTCAAGATTAGAAGTCTCCCCAAAACATCTAGAAGGCTCCAGGGAGACCTTATAGCAGCCTTCCAGTACTTAAAGGGCCTACAGGAGAGATGGGGAAGGATTCTTTATCAGGGAGTATAGTTATGGGACGTGGGGTAATGGTTTTAAACTGAAAGAGGGTAGATTTAGATTAGATATAAGGAAGAAATTCTTTACTGTGAGGGTGGTGAGACACTGGAACAGGTTGCCCAGAGAAGTTGTGGATGCCCCATCCCTGCAAGTGTTCAAGGCCAGACTGGATGGGGCTTTGAGCAACCTGGTCTAGTGGAAGGTGTCCCTGCCCATGGCAGGGGAGTTGGAACTAGATGATCTTTAAGGTCCCTTCCAACCCAAACTATTCTATGATTCTATGATTTCTCCTTAGTGAGAGAAACTTTCCAAGCATGGACTTCGTAACTACGGAGCCTGAACTCTTGCTGTTAATGGAGTAAGCTCTACCCTACTCCCATCTCATTCATTTTAGCTGTCATCTGAAAAAACAACATAATCCTATAAATGACCTTGCATTTTCCTTTTTAACATATACACAGCAAAAGACACCAATAGGCAGAGGTAAATCTTATATTCACTTTGGGGCACTGGAAATCACTGCATGACAGAACTAAGTGCAAACAACAGTGTTGTGCTCCCATTTGCAGCAGACTAGAAACAATATGAACATGTTCCTATGCACTGAACCCCGGACTAATATCCCTTTTGGGCTTTTTAGCTCAAACCTGGTACTTCACTGACCATATCTCCAGCCTCTGGTTCAGAGAGAGATCACATCTAACTGAAAGAAAGCATATTAATATGTCCGGAGACTAGCAAGGAGATGCAAAGACAAAAAAATAGTATGAATAAAGAAAAGCAGACAAGTACAAAAATAATAGAAAAACCTGAAGGAGAGCATATTTCCTCTCTGAATTAAGCCATGCATGATTTATTCCTAGCTTCTTAGAGTTAGTATATGCAAGGGTT